GAAAATCTCAATGCACCCCTGAAAAGGCCAGAAGGCACCCCGGTATAGCGCCGCACCCTGGTTGGGAAAGGCCGGTGTATATGATACTTTAATATGCGTATTTTTATCTCTTTACAGGAGTTCAGCTCTTTATTTCAGGTGGTGAGAAATCCGATAGACTGCGCAGCCGTGAAATGTCGCTTTCCAGGTCTCATCGTGAGTTTGCCCGGGACATGCCGATCCTCAGACGTCACACACGGAAAAGGCGAATCCGTGCCGTACAAGTCATTCTGATTTGACATTTTTTTCGGACATGTTTCTGCCTGTCGGAGGAATCTGAGAGACGGGAGAGGTGATAACACCGGCGTGTGAATTATCTCACCGTCACGTCTGTCAGGAGAGTAAAGCTGGCCGCACGCGGTTAGAATTTCGAACGTTCGGCGTTAATATCAGAGACTTCACGAAGGTCGTACGAAATTTCGTTTGGCTTTAACATTCGATTTTGGAAATGATCAGAGATTCCTGAACGAAAAGCTTTCCACCCTGGTCCTTCCATGTATTTGTATCACTGTGCTCAGAAACGATCATCGATTTGTCACCATCGAACAAAATACTATACCCAGCCTGAGAAACCCTCCCCATCCCGGGAATACTCCTTTTATGACATCAATGGGCCCCCCCGCAATCGTCAGTCCGGCAGACCCCCAACAGACACAAGAACTTGTCTACAAGGGTGGTGTTCAATATTTCAGATTTCTGAAATATCGCCCCTAGGGGTTGGTGTACAAATCATCCACCCAGCGTATAGCTTGGTGAATGCCGTTCACATGGCTCTACCACCATTAGATGGAGCCAAGGGGCATAGAAATCTCCCATGATCCTTGTCTCCGTCTAGTGGCGATAGTGCCGTGCAAATGGCATTCTCCCACTGCATGGCTGGGCTAATGGCTTTCGCATGGCATTCCCACCACTGGGTGGAGCCTAGAAGCATCTCCTATTCACCTTGGCTCCATCTAGGGGTGGTAGGGTTGCCACCTGTCCAGGATTCACCCGGACAGTCCGGGTTTTGAATGCTGTGTCTGGGTTTCATGGCAGCTGAAACCCGGACACATGGTATCAGGCAGACAGGGACACCAAAATTCAGAT